TAATCAGTTATGCAATGAAATATCATGAGTTTACCAGTCAAGATGTGAGCAGCATGTGAAGAACAAATGGCCTTTGTGTCATGCTTGGCAACAGGCACACATGGACTGCTAGAACTCTTGATGTTTTTCTTGAGCTCATACCCAGATCCACTCCACCAGCTGCATTAAGCTATGACTCCCGGAGTCGTCCATCTTGCATTTTATGAGAGGAGAGGACTATTTTCTTTTTTTATTTCTTTTTTCCAGGCACTTTTGAAAGACAAACCTAGGCTCAGGAAAGGCATGATGACAGATTTTGACAATTTGTCACATTACTCAAAACAACACAAGCTCTGTTTGGAAAAAAGGGATTGGGAAGCCAGAAAGCTTTTTGCTGTTGGAAAAAGTGTGAGCAGTAGAGCCGGTGTGGGGCATCGTTCAAGGACTTTTCCTCTTAGGCGCCGGATTTATCCTCTCTTCTGTTTACATGTCAGAGGAAGAAACTGTTGAAATGCAGACCTGGATGTACATGCAAGATGTTTCCTATCGGCTTCCTATTGTTTGTCTAGTTCTCATTCCCCTGGTGCCACGTGGTGTAAAGATGATTGAAGGCAGAGCATGGACCTGAGGGACTGTGGGGACAGCTGATTTTGTTAAAAACTGAAATAATCTACCCTGAAGAGATACAACTTTAGTTGCAAACAGATGTGAACCAGGGAGTTGTAGTCAATTAAACACTAATGAGAAAAGCATGCTGTCTTAAAATATATGAATAAAGTGGTCACAAGATAATCTGTGGTTACTTGCTCATGCAACGCGTAAATACAAAAAATGGCTTGCTTGCTAATTAACTGTCAGTTACTTTAAAATATTTTCTAGCCCTTTTTTAGAAGCTGGAAGAAGCCTCACTAAAACAATACATGTCCATGACTCACAGAAGACCTGCTGTGTTTCCCGCTCCTTTTGTTTACCTCCGGGAATCCAGAAAAAGAAAAGTGTTAACAGTTTCCCCTTCACTTGGTTTCCTTGAGTTGGAAATGTATTCCCAAACAAGATGACAGGCCTCTGGACGCTCTGCCTCCTACAGTGTGGCCCAGGATGTCCTGTGGTGGCTCCTTTCTGGCTCTTGTCTCCTCTATGCCCCCCGGCTTCCTGTTGTGTTGGCCAGACATGCAGGTGTCATACCAAAAAGCCCCCAGAGACTAATAAGTTGCACAATACAGATGACCATGCCAGTGCTTTCAATTAACTTGAGCACATTCTGCAGGGCCTACTTTCATCTTTGTTAGCCACGAGGCGCTCCAATGAAGAGAATTAATGGCCCCACCTGTGGGGTTTGAAACAGTCAAGTGTCACTGCTTGGAAAAGCATGGGGGATAAGACTAAGTACAGGAACATCTTGGTGGGGTTCACCTTCAGGGTAACACACGTGGCTGCAGCATTTGAGTGAATAAAATAAGGCTTTAACTTCCAGATGCTTTCAGGATGAGGCCCATCTGTAGAGAATGAGGGGGAAGGAGCTTTTTTTGGGCCAAAAAAAGAAAAGCAAAGGCTCTAAAATGATCGCTTTAATAAGCTGCAGGTTTCCACCGGAGGTGTCCTCCAGAAAGGCAGCACACCATATGCCTGAGGTAGGCCTGTAAATCAATGGGGTTTAACTTTTAGGAATTTACTGGCCCAGACTGGACTTCCTGGAAATAGAGATGGAGAAGGAAAGCCAATAGAGATAATAACTGATAACGTTAGCTGTTGAACTCTACCTGCTTCTTGTGTTCATGTTTTGCCAAGCCTTTCCTGGACATCTACCTCGGTTACAGATGTTTGACCACATGGCGTTAATTGTCAATGCACATCTGTCTCAGTGTGCAGCTCCTACTCTCCTTGCATGATGGTTGTAGCACCCTCAACACTTCTTCAGTCTTTGGTTAATCACAAAATATTTTACCTTGTAGAAGAAATGGACTATCCATTTATCCTGAAACAAGTGGCAGAAAAACATCATCAACAACAACAGATGAAATGGCCACACCAGCTCCAAATGGTTCCCAGCTCGCAGCTTGGAGCAGCTGCAAAGAGAGAGAGAAAAAGGCTGCCATCGAGTCACATTAGAAGTGTTGTCTTAATCGAAACCAGATGCGGCGTGGTTAAAGCCTTTTACTGTAAATTGCCCTTTCTTTCATTCAACCATGACTCAAAGACACACATTAAAGCTGTTGCATGGGAAAGATATCCGCAGTATGAAATATGTCGCTCGAAGACATTGTGTCTCAGTAGAGGATAATGCTTCCCGTGATATTATTCAGACGCCGCAGACATTAAGAGGGATCAACATAATCTTCTCAGTCGCCATAGACCCCCCACTTAGCCCATATTTTACAAAACATTTACCAACACCACTGTTTTAGGCCACAATTCAGAATGTTTATAATTGGGTTTTGTAGACAAATTCAGCTTCTGTGCTCTTGGTGGGTTTTCCCTCAAAGCAGATGGGCTTTGATTTCACACCTCTCCAACTGAGTTTGGATAGCAGCCCCCCCACCACCAAGGTCAAAACCGCAAGAGTAAGCAATCTGCACGGTCTTCATCCAAAAAACAAAGGTCATAATGGAAAGAAAAAGCAGTGTGCCTGCGTGTGTGTTGAGGTACAGGGAACAGGCAAGGTCTCTGTGTGCACATCTGTGTTTATGTTGATGTGCGATACAGAGTTTTGTGATTACTTGGCAGTTTTGGCTGCATGCGGTGGTTCAGTGTTTCTCTTTGGTGACTGCTGTCTGATCGTCTGTTTCCCCTCAGAACTACAAGTCAAACAAGAGATTGGAGAAGTGCACGCCGGTGACCGACCTGTGTGTGAAGGACAGGCTGTAAAGTTCAGCAAAGCTGTGAAAGAGATTCAGATTGTTTTTGAATTCGTCACCAGACTTTAAGTACATCCAGATGTGCACAATGCATATGACACCCTGGAGCCGTTAATGTATACGAGTCCTTGCACCAGGCAGTCAATTTATAATCATAGTGTGACTAAACGATTCTTCGCTTTTCGGTGATGGATTTGAAGGATGGGTCTGGTGTTTTTGTTTATCTTTTCTTGTTGTCAACAAATATGAAAACCACAAAACCAACAATGTGTATCTAAATACTGTCTGAGATTCCCTGCTCTGTCTGCTCCCTCAGTTTGAAAGCATATATCTTTAAAAAAAAAAAATTATTTTGCTGAGCAGATGGACATTTCAGTTTCTAACACATGTAACTGAAATGGAGGTCAATTCACATTTCAGTGGGACAGTTTTATCTGCTGATAATTTGTTATGCTAAAATGTTAACAGCTGTTAGCAGAGTATGTGGGATTAACTCTAAAACTGTTCCCCCTACTACGTTTATACATTTAAAACCAGGTCAATTTAATACTTCAATAATAATACCAACTGTAATTGTATAGAACCTTTGATGAAAGGATGCAGCCCAAAGTGTTTAACAAAACAAGATGAGACGCAGAAAAAACAACAATGAAATTTAAATAAGTTAAAACAAGTTATAAAAACAAAGCAGAAAGAGTTTGATCACAATACAATAAAACATGAACAATAATATCAATAATAACCCTTAAAAGCCAAATTAAAAAGGTAGGTCTTTAATGTATTTCTGAAATGTACAGAAAGTTATAGCTACTAATCAGTTTAGCTAAACTATAAAGCACGGAGGTTTCTACAGGTTGGGGTACATGGAGAGAAAATAAACTGCCAATCCAGTGTCAACATATGCTATATGTATTTGGAATCAAACAGTCTATGTGACCAAGATCAATGCATGTCCAAGAGAAAGGACTGCAAATAAAGTGGTATTGCACCCAAATCAATAGTCAGTTGGTAGCTTAAAATAATTAACAACTTGTTTGCCTGGTAACATCCGAGGCCAGAGGCATTATGTTTTTTTGTTGCCCGTCCGTACGTGTATCAGTACGCCCGGTAATGTTCAAAGTTCAAAAGGTCCCTGTGACCATGACTCAAGGATTCACTCTCCAAATATGACAATTTCACACGAATGAAAATGATCTTTGGGCGGCAATTTAACTTTTTTTGCCAAAGACATTAAACCCTGAGGAGACAATTCTAGTTTCTCCAAACAAAGAGTTACTTATTTCAGAGACACTGACACGATTGTTGCAGGAGTTCAGTGGAGGTTCTTTCTGTTTTCTTAATCTCCTCTGAAGATGTGAACGCTCTTGACCTCGTGGCCTGTTCTGTTTATGTTGAGGGAACTCTATGTTCTAATAAATATGGACAAAAGAGTTTTGGCCTCTGCATAGTTGTATCATGGGAAGATCAGCTGAAGACACAGAGCATAACGTTTATTAATAATCTTTCTTATAAAGCAGCGTTTCCCACAACTTTCTGACCCCGACAGAGGACGACAGAAATACTTTGTTTTGAGTAGTCGGCGAAGAAAAACAAATTATTTATCAAAGAGATTTGCTCGTCATGGTGGGGAAACGAACATGATCATGATGCTCTGATGTGTTAAAAGGATAACGACCGAAACACCAGAAGGGTCAAAAGTGTAATTAATAATTACTGTTCATTTTAAGAAATGCTGCAGCAGATTTGAGGTTATTTAAACCGATTTGATTTGACAAATTAGATTTAAGTTTTAATTTAGTGCAAAGATAAAGATGCATTTCTTGCCATTTAATTTGTTTTTTATATTAGTAAAGATTCAACGCCCCCATTATTAGCAAACCAATAACAAAGGTGAATGAAATGCGAGTGCAAACTGCAAATATTGTTTTGTCCATCCTCCAGAACACTTTACTTATTATTAGGATAGCTTAAAGTGAGTTCTGCAATGATTAATTAGTTCCTTGATTTGAAGTGTGTTCAATACCATAACTATTAACACATTTTGAGATAAGGAAATAATACAACATCATAGCACTATTTCAGAGTACAAGCTCCATCACCTTATTCAAAATGTAGGAGAATGACTTGACTCACACATTAATAGCCAGAGAATGGAGAGCTTCCTGGATGGCAGCAGAGAGTGAGTTGGAGAGTGAAGCACAGGAAGAGATGAGGAGGAAGTGTGCGTCTGAATCAACAACTGGTTGGTGAAACACGCTGAAACAATGGCGCACAGGACATTCCCACTGATCAATCGAGCGTCACTGCCATTAAAAATATCCTGCTTCTACAAATCACGTGGCAGAGATATTTACAAGTAATTAAAACTTAATTCAGGGAAATTTGAAATGATTGTGCTCTTCTGTCTTCAATGTGTTTTTCCTTCTGGGAAACATGCAGTCCATTACAACTTGGCTCTTATTGTAGGCCACGTTGGCTCTAGGGATAGTAATGGCCATTAATAGACCACTTTAAGTTCAGACTACAAATATCTAAAGAACGATAACATTAATTGCAATAAAATGTTGAAGAAAGTCATACCAAGAAGATGAATCTTAATGACTTTGAGGGTCTCCTGGCTTTTAACTTAGTGCCACCAGCTGGTCACTTTTCACTTAACCTGTGAAATCTCTAAACATCTGCTTTGGTGGATTTGCACAACCTACCTGAGAGACTACAATATTTCAGTACTAAATTCAGTACAGGCACTTTTGAGTCACTTTTGACATTCTCCTCATCCTAAAATGTGTAATACCTTTATCACAAAAATCCTGTAAAACAACTTGACTCTGTTGTCAGGTGCAAATAGTATTAGCTGTTGTTATAAACTGGATTTATTATTATCGTATTGTTTTTTAGATGCTTCAATCTGTCTTCCACCTGTGCCTATATTATATAACAGTTTCTGTATTTTTGTACAACTTTTTTGTCATCAAGGGTACACGGAGGAATCTGCCAGACTTGAACATAAGCTTAGTATGACGAGTAAATAAGTAGAAAAAAATTACGAAAATACCAATTCCTCATTGTTACATGACTGAATCTGGCTCATTTTAGGTTCCACTATTAAAAAAGTTTGACTGTTTGACTTTTTTTGTGTTTCCTATCACAAGGTCACAAGGACCATTGTGCCGCGAGCTAATTTGCTACTAATTACAGTATAATTGACATTCAAAAGTTTGCATGTTATCCTTCTGCTATATGACAAAGCCACACTGTGGACGCAGATGTTTCACGTGACGGACTTACATACATTTGAGTTTAGAAACACCAATTACATTTTTTACGAGCTGTGGCCGTCTAATGTTGTGGACTGAGAGGTTTTTCGCCTTGGTCCTTACTGTGAGAGTTTACAATGCAAAGCTATGTTTTCTGGTCACGGTTTGTGGAAAAGACTGTTTCTTTTACAAGGACTATGTGTCTCTGCGCCAGTGTGATCCACAGAGCATTACAGCACATATAATTACAGCTCTGTATGGTCATGTCCCTCTGAAACCTCAGCCAGGGCCTCCATTTTGGGTTTTCCACCATTTTCGCTCACTAAGGTTTAGAAAAATCACTTGTTTGAAGAGACCAGACACGATCTCAATCCAAGCTCTTTCAGTCTGTGTTTTTGTTTATTCTGCTCTGTAGAGGTGAACGGTTGTATTTATTACAGTGTCTCTGTGTTTGAGTTTGTTTTCGAGGATCCTCTGCTCTCTCTGACCATTGAAGCCACAGCCGTCCTGCCTGTGGTTTCGGTCGGGAGTGTGGAGGAGTGAGCAGCACTTTGCACTGTGGGTCTCTGTAGGAGAGCGCACGAGCCTCAAACGTGTCAGAGCAATTCAACAGGGAGAGCAAAGGCCGCCAACTGGCTAGAAGCCTAGCGTAATAAAAAAAGAAAGAGAATTTCGATGAAAACCACATCAGATCACACACATCTGCAGAAAGACAACATTTCGTGAGTGAAGAAAACAAGGATTATTTATTTGCTTTCTCATCAACGCCACCAAAAACTGTTCCAACATTTGTTTTAATTTAAGTCCCTCTGCAGTTTAACTGTTGAATAATGTTAACAAAAGCACTTTTATGCTTATTTTCAGGTTTCATATTTTGTGTCTCTGCTGAGACATGTTTACATGCTTTCATCTTCAAAAAGGTCTTTATTTTTCTCTTACTGCCTGTGCTGCAGAACCTCTTTTCAGTGTGTGGTAGAGAAACGTTGGGAGGGAATTTTGGAATTGAACCTTTGCAGAACCTTTACAAGCACAAAAACCTACATTACAGTCAAGGGAAAACCCCAAAAAGCATTATAGTGCCCATTTAGATATGTGTCATATCATATGCAGTGACATTTCTAGAGTATAGACAGATCTTAAAGGGGACCTATCGTGCAAAATGCACTTTGTGATGTCTTTTATACATAAATATGTGTCCCCGGTGTGTCGGGGAACTCACGCAGCGTCAGAAAATAAAACCCTCTCTCTTTTCCTCCGTACCGTAAATCTTTTAAAAACAGGGGTACAACGAGCGGTCACAGATTTGGTGCCGATCTGACGTCAAATCGGCAGCGGACCCACAGAAAATTGCTATCAGAAACAATGCCTGGCGTGTTTTGGACGTAATCTCGTCTTTGTTTACATTAGCAAGCCTCGCTAACACTCAAAGCTAACCTGTATTGAAAAGTACATGTGTTTAAAAAGCAGGAAATAAAAAAAGAACTCATCTTGTGATAAACCTGCAAGAGAAAAAGCATTTGAGCTCCATACTGTTTCAGAAATAATCTTTGATGTGGTTTAGAACAGGATGGCGTTTTATCACAGCAGAATTTAACTTAGATTATTTCTGAAACAGTATGGAGCTCAAATGCTTTTTCTCTTGCAGGTNCCCTCCTCCCCTCCCAGTTGGATGGCAGCTTAGCGGATGCCAAGAGGCAGCTTCAGGATGAGATGCTGAGGAGAGTGGACGCCGAGAACCGCCTGCAGACCGTGAAGGAGGAACTGGAGTTCCAGAAGAACATCTACAACGAGGTTCCCACTCTTCACCTCAACCTTTCTATTTGTATTCAGCCGTCTTCTGTCTTACTTTTCATCTTTTCCACAGGATATTGATTTGCTTCCCAACCTCCTGCATGTTTGTTTTGCATTTCCCCTTCAGACATGTCTCCTCTTTTGTTTCTCACCTCTCCTTGATTTTATTCCAAGTTTATTCTCTCATACATAACAAAACACAGTACAAGTAGAAAGATATATACACATTGTAAAGTATTCAAATTGATTTTAATTCTTGCCGTCATCAAAGTCATAATTAAAAAAATATTGTGGTTTCAATCAAGTCCTGACCAAATCTAGCAACAGTCATAATAACTTGGAGTTGCTTAAAGGTCACAGGGGATGTTATGCATGTGGATTTATTGCCTTAGTGCGCTACTTTTAAACAAATAATTACTCCACAGCGACTGAATCATCAATGCAATTAAGTTTATTGACTATAACAGGTTTCTACAGGTAGTCTTTTATTTTTTTTTCATGGCCTTAAGCAAAATGAGCCGTACATCAATATAAAAGGTCCAAGTTTGAGTAGTCACATAACCAAGGTTAACTAAGTGCTCTTGAGACTCATGACCTCTCCACCCTGCTGTGTCTGTAGGAGCGGCGTGATAGCGAGCACCGCTACAAGTCCCGCATGACGGAGGTGGTCAGCGGGCGGCAGCAGGAGTTTGAGAGCAAGCTGGCCATCGCCCTGATGGAGATGAGAGCCCAGCACGAGGAGCAGCTCGCCCTCTACAAGGAGGAGGTGGAGAAGACCTACAACTCTAAGGTACGACTCACTGGACGCTGCATTACACGCAGCTCTGGCGCCACCTAGAGTAAAACAAAGGCTGTTTCTCTCTATAGTGATGGTGCCTTGGGTGTAGACTTTTTGAATTTGCAAATTAATGAGCCGCTCATTGTGTAATATCCACAGCTCAGATCATGCATATTGATTTACTCCCTTTTAACAATCAATCAGTTTACAAATGCCTTCATTAGCTTTTATGTTGCCTTATATCTACATGCCGACGGGAAATTAATTTAACAGCCATTATCACTGTGTAGTGCAGGGGTGTCAAACTCAAATACACAGTGGGCCAAAATAAAAAATGGGTACTAGTCGAGGGCCGGATAATGTTTACTGCAAAAGTTATTGAAATTAACTTATTACACATATGAAACCTGGAACTAACAAAGCTTAAATTATTGCCTATAAAAACAACATTATATAATCAGTTGCATTCATTTCTTATGGCTCTATCTGCAGCTTTTCCGGAGTCATTTCTTATGATTACATTTTTCCACAGGCCAACAGCTTCAAAAAAATAATTCCCCTCAAAGAAAGAGCCAAATATGCCCTGTTGTCGCAAGAAAAAAAGTGCAGAAGGAAACATCCATTGAAACTCAGTTTGCTGCTCTGTGATGTACACTAAGCCAGATACTTGGCATCTCATCTTGGGTGCAAGTTCATCAATGTTTGGGCTCAGGCTCTGAGCTGACGAAATCCTCAGGATTGAGTGAAGGTGTGCGTGCAATATACCGGCGGGCCAGATCTAATAGTAATGAACAATTAAATCAACCACGGGCCTGATTTGGACCCCGGGCCTTGAGTTTGACGCATGTGGTCTGGTGGATAGACACACTTTTAAGTGTTTTCATTAGAATTTGCTGTTTAATTTTGTGAGTAAGCGTTTCCAAATCAGTTAACAGGCAAAAATTGCAGGATGCTGAAAAGTATTTTACTATTATGATGTTTGGTATCCAACAGAGCCAAAGATTATTAATATTTATGAATGGAATACTTAACCCTCAAAATGACCATTGTAAATCAGCTTTACATTTTTTTTTTGAAACGCTTGATTAATTGAAGTAAAATTGTGGAAATCAGATTTCTCTAGTCGTACACTTAATCTTAATTTTTAATAAACTTCTCCATAAATGGTCACATGCAGGTGCACTTCATGTCTGTGTGAGACATACTGTTCATGTGGAAGTGTTTTATTAATAAGGTTTTAAACTACTTGTTAGAAAATTAGTTAGCATACAACTGCATACAATGAGACTTGGATTATATTGCTCAAGTGGATTAAGAGTTAGTGAGCAGTTTTTCTGTTAAACGCAGCCTCCATTAAATTCAATTTATCACATTTCCCTCCCATTTTCTCATTGTATTCACTGTGGAATGGATACAAGTTCATTTATATATAGAGGGTCAAGTGTTCATTTAAATAATGACAGTCTCTTGAAATAAAGTTGACCCGATTCTAAGTGTTTTTCAAACGGCACAGTTTTAGCCCGGTTGTTCAGGGGAGGAAGCCACCGCTGCAATCTGACTTTACCTTTTCTGCGTCTTTCAGCTGGAGAACGCCCGTCACTCTGCTGACAGGAACGGCCATTTGTTGGGAGCCAGTCATGAAGAGGTGCAGCAGTCCCGGGTTCGAATTGAGAGCATGTCAGGCCAGCTCAGCATGATGCAGAAACAGGTACACACACACACACACACACACACACACACACACACACACACACACACACACACACACACACACACACGCACATGCACTGACTCCCTAATTAGTTGTAATTTACTAACCTTTCTGTGTGTCTTCTGGCGGAATCAGCTGTCAGCGAGCGAGGCCAGGGTGCGGGAGCTGGAGGAGGCGATGTCAAGGGAGCGGGACCTGATGCGGCGGCGCCTGGAGGATAAAGAGCGGGAGGTGACTGATATCCGCAGTCGACTCCAGCTGCAGCTCGAGGAGTACCAGGAGCTGCTGGACATCAAACTGGCCCTGGACATGGAGATCAATGCTTACAGGAAGCTGCTGGAGGGAGAGGAGGCCAGGTGAGATTGTTGTAAAAAACAAACCAATTGAAAAACATAAGCCACTTTTCCATGTGAGCTCTGGACAGTGACTGAAGAATCAGGTCCGGGTTTCATCCAGAGGTTTGCTTACACGCTTTTGTTAATCGATATCAAGTAAACTGACAGTGAACAACGTACAGGCTCAGGGAAAGCAATCACAGGCAGGCAGAGAACTGTTACTAAGAATGTGAAAATGCAGTTCTGACACAGCGTATTCTACAATACAGCTGCCGTAACAAAAGGTCATTTCTTTCCTAAAAAAAGGTCTAGTTTTTTGAGCTTCAACCACCAAACACTGGAGAATCTTGGTTATATAATCTGTGTTGAGACCCAGAGCAGTAAGCAAGAGATACATGAAGTATATAAAGGCTCTTCACCAACAGTGATTCTGTACTGCTTTGGTCTAAATATCTGAACCTCTTCTTTCCCTTTTTCCTCAGGCTGAGTCTCTCACCCGGCACTACACCCACTGCCAAGGTCACAGTGACACGGTCCTCTGGCTCCGCCCACAACCAGATCAGTCGTGTGGTCCAATCTTCCGGACTTGCCGTTGGCACCGGCACCGCCTCCAGCAGCCGTAACTCCTCCGGAACAGCCGTCTCCAAGAAGCGCCGCCTCAATGAAAACGACAGCGAGACCTCCAGCATGGTGGGGGGCTCTGTGACCAAGACTCGCATCAGTCAGAACGCCTCAGCCAGCGGGCGCGTCACCGTGGACGAAGTCGACCTGGAGGGCAAGTTCATCCGTCTCAGCAACAAGGCCGACGAGGTGAGTGGGTCCATGCAGCCGGGGGATTTCAAACCCTTTAACCTGGTTTTATTTGATTTCATGCCACTCAGACTGCCATCAAAAAAGGTGGTAAAATATTTTTTAAGACTGATTACAATGTGATACCACTTTTAAAAATAATAAACCAATTTTACAGTTAACATTTGCTTTCTGCTATCACTTTTGATGCCAGGATATTCTAAGAAGGATGGTTGTGTTAATTAGCACCATTTCCGTGTATAAAAAACTTTAATTAAATCTTTATTGGTTTGTCTTATCCCCATCGCTCTTCTCATTTCCTTCTTGCAGGACCAATCTCTGGCTAACTGGCAGGTGAAGAGAGTAGTAGGTAGCACCACCCCCATCATCTACAAGTTTCCCAGCAAGTTCACTCTGAAGGCCGGAGGAGCTGTCACGGTAAGTTGCACCAAATTCTCTAGATTGGTCAGTTGAATTGTCCATGCTTGATTTGCCAACACTTTTTGACCATGAGGAGTATTACTGAGAAATATTTATGAGTGGGTCCCCATTTTGTTTGTACAAATTAGTGCTAATGTCCTGATCCTTTTTTTTAACTAGTCAATAGATGGCAGTAATGCATCAAGAAAAGTATCAAACATCTACAATGCAAAGAAGAAGATGGCAAAAATTCTGAACATTGATTCAACATTTTTTAAATTATTGGTTTAGAAATGGTTAGATTTGGTAATAAATGTATTTAACAGGCCTTGAGAATACACACAATACTTTGAACTGAGACAGAAGTAACGAATCACAATCTCTTGACCTTTGACCTTCATAGATCTGGGCTGCCTCTGGAGGAGGAACCCACAACCCCCCCACTGACCTGGTGTGGAAGAACCAGAGCTCCTGGGGCACCGGAGACCTCATGCAGACCATCCTCATCAGTGCCAACGGAGAGGTGCGACTTCACCTGAATGTCTCTGAGCTTGTCTTTTATTATTTTTACCTGCAACTTCCTCATCTTTTTATCACTTTACTCCCCATCAGGAAATGGCCATGAGGAAGGTGACCCGCACCCTGTTCCATGAGGATGAAGACGATGACATGGTAAGCATCTCTTCTGTAAGACTGTAAACTCCTGCAGCTCCTCTCAGTGGAGCAGTGTGCAGTAACTGGTGTGTGTCGCCCCCTGCAGGGAGCTCACAGCACGAGCGGGGACAACGAGTACAACCTGCGGAGCCGCACGGTGATCTGCGACTCCTGCGGGCAGACGGCGGACCGCCCGGGGTGCGGCGGGGGCGGTGGTCTGCCTGAAGGCCTCGGGGGACACTCCCTCTTCATGGGGAGCAACGAGCCCAGAAAGGTACCATTACTCTGTTACTGGCATAAAGCAGACTCTGCTATATTTCATGATGAAATAAGACTTTTGATGATTTTATCACTGGTTAAAGTAATTGTATGAATTAAGCCAATAAAGTTAATTACATAATAAAAAGTAATATGTGTGACCCTTTTATCCTACAATTATTATCAAATTATTTCCCAGAAGTTTTCCTGGATATAACAAATAAATAATAATGTTATTTATTTATTGCTGAAAACTGTAGACAAATATGTCATTGTTGTTGATTCACACAACTTACCGTACTGTACATTGGGTTGGTCAGCAATCATTTGGAATACATTTATTCAAAGTGTACCAATTGAACAGCTTTTGGCATTTTAAATCTTTGGACAATCATAACCTAATTATATAATTATTTATGGGTGGTCAGGTATCACAATTCAATTTGAAAATCATGTATCTGTAAAACAAAGCGGGACTTGAATTAACTTACATTACTGTTTAACCACTGAATTACACAAGCAGGCAATGCATTGACCATTTCTGTTGATTATATTTGATTGTAGTTGACTGGGAAGAAGTAATCACATTAAAAACTGAATGGAACAGCTGACTTTTTGTTTTCTCTTCTCATAAATGTTGCTTACAAGATGTCTTGTATTGTAAGTTTATTGTTAATATTATTCTACTTTTTATCTCCACATTTAACATCACACTGTCACTTCCTCCTTCAGGGCCGTGCAAAGCCGGAGAACTGCTCCGTCATGTAGAGCCAGACCCCACCTCACCTGACCTCACCTGACCCCACCTCCTGCAGCCAATAAAGGACGAGAAGATATTTTCTTCCTTTGGGTTGTTTGTCTCTATTTCCTTTTTTTTATACGATATTATTTTTTGTATTCAGATAAATCTGCAGGTTAGGATTGCTTTAAGGTTTTCGGGGCAAAGGATTTTCATATTCAGCTTTTGATGTTGTATTTCAAGTTATGTCATTGCATGTGTGCTGCACTAAACGCTTGTCTTGCTCTTGTTCTTGCACACACACACACACACACACACACACACACACACACACACACACACACACACACACACACACACACACACACACACACACACACACACAGCTCCATTGACCAGTGCTTGCACTTTGATCCCAGCCGGGGTTTCACATTTTATGGCCATGGTGTCAACTCTCAACGAGCACAGCTAGTGAACCCTGTCAGGAATAAGTCTCAGCCTTACAGACCATAGGAAACTGTGGTGTTTTTTTTAATGTTTATTGACCATCAAATCAGGTGAAATCTTTATTTGAGATGTTGTTGATGTTTACAATGAAATTTGCTTGTCCGTCTTTTTTGAAACAGTTTTTTTCTGTCTCAAAATGCTATAGAAAATACATTGACGTTGGTTTTTGTTTTGATAAACATGTTGAAATGTTCTCCAAAGATAGTCTCAGTACTGTAAAATCAGGATGTTCTGTTTTTTTGTTTTAACCTTAGAGAAAACATGTCCAAGTAAATGTTGTAAGTGGATCCAGATCATATGATGGGCTGTTATGGTGCACACAGAGAAATAATTATTTGAGAGGAATATATTTTTCCTGCAAGTCGAATCTCAAGCTGGTGCATTTGATTATGTTTTTGAACATGTGTGGAATTGTTTGCTGGACAAGTTGAATGTACCCAGTAAAATATGTATCTCAGTATGATATACATTGATATATGTTGCCTTACAAAGATGTTCAGGAAGAGGTACTGTGTTTTCTCGTGCCATATATACAGTATAATGGTGAGCTTATTCCACCAAATGAACATTATTCTAATAAAAAGCTGTTGCTGCTATTTTCAGAGTGCAACAGTCATTTTTGGAGACATTTTAACAAGCTTTTTTACAGATATAAAAACAACAAATGTGCCTTTTTTTTAGCGGACAGAAAACCACAATCACTGTTCTGAGCTTTCTATCAGTCTTGTGACTTTCAGCTGTCCGATTTGTGTTGCTCGTAAAAACTGGTCAAATGGCTTTTTTTCCCTTTCCTGTAAGCTTACTGGCTTTGCAAATCCCTGTGCATGATTTCGGGATTTGGGATGTTTTTTTTACGTTTTTTGAATTGTACTGAATAGATGGTGTTTGTGCCACATTAGATCCTTTTTTACCTTAATTAGATGCCTGATTTTGTAACAATGACCTAAAGTGCCTTAAAAGGTCCATAACACTCGTTAAAGAAGTGGACAGATCCAAAGATAACAGATGTATAACTAAGAGATAGTATTTATCGTATATGCAAGTAAAAAGGGTATGAATATAATTACTATGTTATTGTGAAAAATATGCAGCTATTAAGTGAAACATCCCACTCAAAGATCATTTTAAGGGTTTGGTTCAGGGTTTTTCAAAGGCCTGTCTGACCAGAGAAGCTTTCCTTTTATTTTTTATTCTCATCGACAGCTGCTCTTAAACATGTATACGCAATGTTAGTTCAAGTCAATGAACAAGCAGGACACTAACCGATTCAAACCACAGATGTGCTTTGTGTGAAAGTTTTGAAAGGCCTTTTTGAAATCCTGAACCCTCTGAAAGTCCTCATTGAAGCCTCATGAGTCTTTGAAGGACTTGAAATGTTACCGAAGGGATTTCTTGTGAGCCTTTAATGCCAAAGTTGTAATTTGCTTGAAGTAGAATTTCCTAACGATGCTGTCCACACTATGGAAAAGCCATTCAGTCGATGCAATCCTGTTTGTTTTCTGTTTTTAAATAATGCTGAGTAAAATGATGTTTTTCCCAGTGACTGACTGTTCAAGTTATTTCCTTCATAAACAAACGCCACTCAACACCAATGATGAAAAGTGCAGCCATCTTTATTTACACTATATACACACACATGTTTCCATGGTTACATTAAAAAATATATGTTCATACGTAGAAAAAAGGCCTCTAGCTATACTGGAAACTATAGCATTAAAAGCACAAGGTACATTCTTCTGGTAAACAGGGTTTCTGTAATCCAATTGACAGAACAATAAACTTCATTTGATAAAAGCAAAACACAAATAAAGGATATCGGATGTATTTAGACGCAATACAAAAGCAATTAAAGTTTACCTCTTTTGAAAAAGAAAAAGTATTTTGGTTGAGCCCGCTCTTTAAATACCAGGCAAAAACAAACATTGCTGTAGCGCGCTTCAGTGACATCCAAAATGCTGCTTTGATTTGGCTTGCAACTTCCTGTTTGATGTTTCCTTTTCACAACAAACAATGTTTCTGCCCATGGCGAGTTTTTGGCATCTATAACTGAGCAAATGTGTGTGTGAACGATGGTCACAAACGCCTTTAACCATCCTAGAATAAGATCGTTCTTTTACATTAGTGTGACCCCAACAATATATTCCATTGTATATTTACAAAGTTTTCATCTGGCAGCAGCAATATGTGAGCCACATGTGTTGAAACAAACAAGGAGCACGTTTTGTTTGACGAGATTATCATAAAAAAGAGGTTCATCTTGGCAACAAAACTTTGGTTAAACAACCTGACTTAAAACCTGAACACGAGAAATAAAACGAAATTAAAATAATGTGTCTCAGACCAGAGACTGGCAGTATATTTAGCAGTAGGCTACGCATTTTTTCCATGAGCAAAACAAAAGGAAGTCCAGCTGTGTGATGAATTCAAACAAAGCTTCTTGTGTAAATAAAAGGATTCTATATATAACCTCAAAAAAAATTAAGACTTTAAAAGAAAACTTGAATGGGGGCCTTTTGATCATGCACACCAGCTGATCAGTAGCAAGCTAAATGTGTGGGGAACATCAATTACAGCATGTTTACATTAGTTCAAAAGCAAAGAACTTCCCATGCTGCATTTCAACATGAAATCTTCTGGTCTATTTTTCCCATGGGAGGTAAATGCAGTCCCACAGACCGCCCCCCATCACCGCAGCCCGCTGGCTCCACTGTCTGGATGACAAGTCTGTCACGGTGAAGCAAGTACCCCTTCAGCCCACAGGGGGGCAGTGTGGAGCTAACAGGGGGGCGTCCGCACTCAACAACAGTTCCTCCGCCTATAGGCGCTGCTCTGTGGGTGGTCTGCAGCTCTGACTGACAGAAGCGTAAAAGTTCGCTCCTTCTTTGCGAGCACACACCTGAAATCCTTCCCAAAGTGAGAGGGGGGAAAACTGCCTCTGATGCTGAGACCTTCACTGAGGGGATCTCCTGGGGGAGGGGGGGCGGCGGACAGGCGGCAGGTCGTAGTGTCCCGGGATGTGGCTGTTCACCGGGAGGTCGTAATGGCTCTGGGGGTCCTCGTGTGGAGCGTGACCGAGGGAACTCTGGCGCTCTGCGGGGTACAAAAAAAAGGTGTTTTGTCCTTTTAGTCAAATCTATTTCATTCATATCACAAATTATAATATACAACAACACCATATCTGTGCTTTCTTTTTAGTCTTGCTTCAGATAAGGAAAAACTGCAACATTAGGGCTCTGCAAATCAGGGGTCAGAAGTTCGATCCCACCCCCTGCAGACGAAGAGTCCTTGAGCAAAATATCCCAATTAGGTCCCGTAGCCATGACTACAGTTTTGTGTATGTAAGTTGCTTTGGATAAAAGCAAACAATACTTCATGTCTATAAGGAAAAATATCACTCCTCCACTTCCATTGTATATATTTTTTTAATGCCGCATCTGCTGATCATATTTAAGATTTCTTGAAGGTCTGAAATGATCAAATATAGTATATAGAATCTAATTTAAACTAGGTTGCACTCATTGATTTTTTTGGTTTCTTCACTTTCTTTGCAGGCATGTGAAAAAAAGTATTCTTCAAGAATTCAAGGTAAAAATGGGTGCGTAACCTGTGATACTCAAATGGTTATTTTGTGGGTTTAGTTTTCCTTAAATGTGTATGTTTTTCTATCATGAATAGTTTCTCTCTTCTGCTTTCAGGAGAGCGAGTGTAAAAACAGGTATTGATGGAAGTGTTATTTTCTCTCACTTTTCCACCCAAATGTCCCAGAGGACAGAGGATCCAAAATTATGATATTCTACTTCACTAGAGGGAAAAAATCAGTAACATTGAGCCAATATCTCCATCAATTTGGCATTTCCTATCCTGCGATACAACGTGACCCCACATCATTTATTAGTCTGACTTCGTCTTGATGAATTACTGATGCTAAAAAAGAACCCCTTCCCTCCTGCTCTTCCTCTTCCCAGTGAACAGTTGTTCATTTGTCAGACCCTGGCTTCAGGAAGCCCATCCTCCCCATCTTTCAAAGCACAAATCCCGTTCTGACATTTGAAAGATCCTAACTCTGAAAGAAAATATATTAGTATTTTTCTTGAGATGTGATCATTATTTTAAGTATCAGGGTTGATTCTCTCAAAATGCCACTATTGATCAAGTAAAATGCCAAACATTCTCTTAATCCAGCTTAAAAAGTGTTAAGATTTGCATGCTTTTTAAAATCTTCTTGAATAGTAAATAGATTTGTTTCTGGTTTTGGAGTGAAGTTTTTAAGAACCCAATGATTCACGGAGAAAAGAATGAGCAGAATAATCGTAAAATTATTATTATTCCAATTATTATTACATGTTACTTGTTAGACGCTTTTATCCAAAGCGACTTACATACTCAATACTGTGGGCAATCCCCACAGGAGCAATTTGGGGTGAAGTGTCTTGCTGAGGGACACAACGACATGCTGACTGCAGTGGGGTTTGAACCTGTGACCCCCTGATCCAAACACCAACACACAACCCACTGCGCCACACACCTCCTAAAATAATTGTTAGTTGTACAGAGTGATAAATGATAGTTGCAGTTTCAAATCTCTTGTGATTTCGATAAAGCCTACTTCTATCTTTTTCTACTTCTTGTCATCTCAGTTAAATTCTTCCCCTTTATACTGAATATCCTTTATTGGTGTAAAAAGTGAAGCTCCCACTTTTGTACCCTCCTGATTGGCTCACAAGAAAAATTGTAATGCAATGTGAAAACTGACCTCCTAACCACCTAATCTTCTTCTTGTAATACTGAATATGACTCACAAGTCACACTGTTCCAGAAAAAGAAAGAAAAAAGGACACCGGCATTATCGGCTGTTTTGTATCTCTGCATGCTGAAGGAGTCCAGAGTGACGCTCACCTCTGCGTAAGGTGGCGGTGTTGAACGGCGGGCGGATCTCGGTGTACGCTCGCTCTCTGGGCACGGTGCACTGCATCTCCATGTAGCTGCTCTCGGGGGGGCAGAAGGGCAGACCAGGCAGGTCTTTGATGGTGGCGTAAGGATTCTCGCTGTTCAGAGAACTGCTGCTCGCCGCCACCACGTCTTTCAGCTCTGTCACCACACACATAAAGAGAGGGAAGTTAAAACACATCTGAAGTGCACACAGAGTCAGAAACAGCAGCATCAAGGTCATTTTAAAGTCTGTGTGTGTACACTTTATGTGAAGGGTGGGGGTTACCAGGACCCAAACGCAGAATGAGGAGAAGGGGTGCAAAGTATAACAAAAAGAGAGCTTTATTTAACAAAAGCCGATGTCAATGAAAAAACAAGAAAATACATAAACCAGGAGCACGAGGAAGCTTCAAGACAAAAAACCGACAGGGACAAACATGGAGGAGCAAGGAAGACAACGACCAAACATGGAGCAAAGGGGAAGACAAGACCAAATACACAGAAGGGTAATCACAGGACAAGACACAGCTGGGGAGGGGAAGTGTTCCTGGCAAACACAGGAAGGAAGTCCAGACACGGGGGGAACAGAATTTCAAAATAAAACCATGACTAAACACACAAAACTCAAACCATGACACTTTTACCCATGTCATCTCTGCATTAATGCTCTCATGGTTTCGATTCATCCTTTTTCTATAGCAGTGTTGGTATGCCTATTTCTCTCGGTAACTGAACAGGAAAAAGGGTGACATGGGGTGATAAACTACCTTTGTTGTAATATTTCCCGAGGCTGGCACTGTAGCTGTAGCTCCGATCGATTCCAAAAGCTCCTGTAAACAATAAAAGAGAAAGCTGGCATCCTCATTCCTCATTTATGGCAAACTAATCAAAAGCAGATTATCTGCCTTGGAAATTTACAAAATCAATCCCAGGTGTGTGAATGCTGCCAATGCAATTACCACTTCTTATAAAGTACTTATTGATTTTATAGTCTTATATCAAAGCAATGATGATTTCATAAATGTTCTGCCCGAAGGAAATGTATTGGTCGATAAAGTTTGATGGATATAAAGAGAACGTGCTCAGCTTTCTCCTTAGCTGTTTCTGCCCTGAATTTACACTGAATTTTAACATCAGGGGAAGCTTTTCGCATCGTATAGGATATGTGTATGTTGTATTCTGCTGGTGTTCCATCTCTTTAAGAACGATTATGTTCATTTTAACAAAAAAAATGTAGTGTTTCACATTAAAAGATTATTCTGTCTCGCAGGTTCTATTAATCACTAAGCTCTCCTCTGACACTCAGAATAGGGAAATACTTGTAGGTGGTTAGCAGAAGATTATATTAGCAGTAAATTGAACGTTTTACAGATTATGTTTAGCTGTGGTCAGGAGGTCAGGAAACCAATTCCTTACGTTTATTATCTTGTAAATGTTAATTCCTTTTACTCTACCGCTCCAGGTCAATCTGCATTATGTGTCTCCACTAAATGGAGAAAGTGACCGATCCTAAATGTGAATCACCCATTGCTGACGGACCTGAGTCTTTACGAGGCTCGTGGTGTTTCCAGTCTGCAGGAAGAGTGGCGTTGCTCTCGACCCCAAACAGGCCCCGCCTCTCCCTCTCCATGTTTTTCACACTGCAGAACAGCTGGTTATTGGTGTTCTGTGGGACACACATAAACGGAAAATAATCAGAAAAGCAAAGCAAATACCAAGATAAAATATGCTTTTGACATGAAAACCAGAAGCGCTGTGACATACTGGGTCAGCATCTGATGATTTATGATCTCATGGCCCTGAAAACAAAGCCTGCTGGATAAATTACCCAGGTCTCCCGGCGCTGCACTATGAGGCCTAGAAATGTCCTAAAGTTTCAGATCACTGCACTGATGTAGCAGAGGTGACATTCACCTTGATGGTGCGGTCGTGGTTGTTGGGGAGGTGGGGCAGTGGAGGCCTGTTCTGGCTCAGCGTGTGGTAGCTGGGGTTTGAGTAGTAGTGGTGGTAACTGTGAGGAACATCTGTGAGGCCAAAACAAACACATGGATAACGTCTGCTGCAAATAAATTACCTCAAGGTCAATAAAAAGCATCTCTGTGGGACCCTAATAACAAAAACACATGAGTTAGATATAACTGGAACCACATCATGACCAAGAGCTTAAATAATCCTACCTGAAGTGTACTAAAGAGCATTTGTCTCTTATGCAAACATATCAATCAGCATGTTAACATAAGCATTATAATTTAACATCATTACCTCATTAAATAGCACCGTGCTTTTGCAAAAACGTAAGCGAATAAATGTATAGGAATTGTCCATCCTCTGTTAGTGCTTAGGTTTGAGAAACATGAGCACTAACAATAGCAGAATATTTGCATATGTCTCAGAAGATTTGCATATGTCTCACTCGTTTTATAATAATAATAATAAGTGTTATAACTATAACTCATTGAACAATATTTTAATTATTGCCAGTTATGAAATGCCAGACAGTATACCTGGTACTCTCTTAGATCAAACATTGGGTTCATTACAAATATGCAGAGAAGCTAAGAACATTTCTGTAGTCTCTCTCGAGTCTAGCTTTTAAAGATACCGCGTCAGTCAGGCAGAACCCAAAGGAAATGATTGTTGAATAATTGTTGTATTGGTAATTTACTTAAGTTAAGCCTCTGAGTACTTCTTCAACCACGACGTAGACGTACCTGGCACGGTGTACTCAGAGTTGACGGTGCGGCTGGTGGAGAAGGTCACGGTGGGGGTGTGGTTCTGCTTGTCCTTCTGTCTGCGGCGGTACAGCAGCAGCAGAGCAAGCAGCAGCACCACCAGGAGGACCAGCACCACGATGCCGCTGATCGCTCCCCACGACTCCCGCTCACCGGGGGGAAGGGGCACCATGACGCTCCCCGACAACACAGGTGTTTCTGTCAGAGGAAGTGGAACGTTTAATAGAGTCCAGCAGCCTTTATTTACTTTCCACGTCAAAGATGGAATAAGAACAGCCATGAATTCAAGTAGTTTTCCTCAACTTTTTAGCAAAAAGGATGACTTTGATTTGGGTACATCGGCTAAAAGAGAATGAAAGGCATTTTATAGGCTCCTATATTCATGGGAGAATCGGTTTCCATACCTTGTTTGCAGTCATCTTCTTCACTCTCACACACACAGTCTCCTGTGTGTCGGTCACAGAGGAGGTTGCTGGGACAGGAGCAGGTCTGAGTGCAGAACGGACCAAAGCGACCCGCACTGCAGGCTGGAGAAACACAAGACACACATCACATCCATGCATTAGACACATAGACACAAACAGAGGAGAGAAATGCTCTACTTGCCCTGTCATGTTTCACCGTATTTTTGAGAAATGGGGAGCATGACTAATGGGCTTCTTACATTAACAGTAACTATCTTAATATATTATTCTATTTGATCTGGTTGATTACATTTGAATTTAACTTCTGGAAAAATGTTGAACTGTAAAGCTCATTGATTAGTCGATCAAGAGAGAATTAACCTACAACAATCCTCAACGATCCAGTCTCAACTTTTTTAATTTAAGGATTTGGAGAACATGAATATTTAACAGGGCATACATGACATCTGTCAAGTTATTGGGGAAAACAGTTGCTTTTGCACCCTTCGTATCAGTAAGTTACTGTAATAACAATTGGCTGTATTCCCCTCTCTCTCAGCAGTCACATTTCATGTTAGTATTTGTAACATTTTCTCCCAAAAGAGTGTACTTTTCTAGTTGCTGTGTGAAGTTGCACTCACGTATGGAACAGTCAGTAGCAGTCCATCCAGGCAAACACTCACAGTGACCGTCCCGGTGGTCGCATGTGGAGTTGTTGGCACAGTTAACACACACCTCAGTGCACTGTTTGCCGTAGTATCCAGCTGGACAAACTGTAAAACACACAATGTGATATATAAAAATCACCTGCACTCACGAGATTGAATCCAAGGGATTTCTGTAACATTTAAGTGCTTATGTTTTGAATGGTGGATTTGCACATAGATGGATCCTAACCTTGATCACAGTTGGGCCCGGTGAATCCTGGCAGGCAGTCACACTCTCCTGTCACATGGTGGCAGCGGTACGAATGGCCACAGGAGGGGCAGGGCATGCCGCACTGCTCTCCATACACACTAGCTTTGCATTCTGGGAGAAAAACAGATATAGTGTGAGGCATGGCAGATGTTGCACACTAACAGTAAATGGCATGCATTTATAATGGTGCTTTTCCAGCCTTTACGACCACTGGAAGCGCTTTACAACAACACAAGTCAGTATATGTTCATTCAAACAAATGCAGTCAGAGTCAGAGGATGACATACAAGATAAGCGGCGGTCCACCAATCAGAAGTTCATTACTCGACCCCCAGCCGCAGCAGTCTGTTAACTGTCCTTGAGCAACATATCGCCCCCAATATTGTTCCCGATGGCATTGCCAAAGATAATGGTGTGTGAGTGTTTATTACTTTGTGGCAATTTGTATGGAAACCTCTGCCTCTGTATGAATCATGACAGCAAAAGTGCTTTGAGTGGTTGCAAAGACTGGAAAAGCACTATATAAATGCAGCCAGTCTAGTACAGTTCTGGTTTTGATCTGATTTAGCAATAACACTCACTGTTCAGACAGGTGACTCCCCAGTAGCCAGGGCGGCACACACACGCTCCAGTTTCCCTCAAGCATGTGTCGCTGTTGGGGCAATGCTTGTTACAGGTCTGGTTACAGTGGCGCCCCCACAGGCCCTCTGAACACGGCTCATTACAGCGAGAACCTTGAGGAGGAGAAAATTAAAGGTTTTAAATAATGTCATATGCACATAAGCAACAGTGTAGAAAGGGCAATGAAAATCTTATGACTGAATGAAAAGCAACAGTGCAGGCCCGGTGTTTTCATATCCAAGTAAAATTGGCAATACCACAATGGACATGTTCTACATCCAAGTCCTGCATTCATAAATGAACTTCAGTAAGAGTAAGCAAATATGACAAGTAAAATGTACCATAAAATGGAAAAAAGTCATTACGAAGAATAGTTCCTTTCAGAGTTTTAATGCAAAAATCTGTAAGTGCCTGTTTTAGTCCATTAACTACACATTATGTTTACTTTAAACTGGCTGATGTATATTATTGTACAATAAGTATGATTCTCCCACTCCATATTCAAAGACACTGGTTTACATACATTTTATAACTGTATGAAAAGCCACACGCAGAGAACAAAAAAATGGTTCAGTTAAGTCATTATTAACTTTGATCTTTTATTCACAAGTAGTTGCAACAAAGACTGATTTTGTAGACTAGTTAACCCCCCCCCCTAATAAAGGATTTCTGATTCTCATTTAAATACTTTTTTTCCGGACAGGAGATTCTTTGACTATACATTTTCCATTTAATTCTACTTTATACTTCTACTCCACTTCATTTAGGGTGGAAGAACTGTTCTTTTTACTTGTATGTGAAGTTGAGTGGTACCAAAGCCAAGCTGGCAGCGACACAGGCGGACGTCGTCACTTACCCCCCCACCCTGGCAGACAGCGGCACTCCCCGCTGGTTGCTTGGCAGCCGTCATCATGGACACAATCACACCTCTTCAGGCAGCCTGGCCCAAACGTGCCCATCTGCACATGTGAGCAAATGCCAACGGGCAAAGAATCGTCAGGGGAATCTCTTCAACGTTCGGCCAGCTCAGTCAGAGTCAGACAAAATACTACACTGGCAATGTGTCGCCGTATAGACAGCCTGGTGGTTGGCATGGCAGAGACAGGAGGGGCACCCGGCCAAAACACAGATGGACGCATGCAGAGGGTGAAGTAAGAGATGAAAAGCTGGACGACATTTCTACAGACTGTCCAATCAGAACTGACTTGTTCTGATTCATTTCGGCCCTTATGATTTCTGTATTTAGTCTTATCAAAGATAGCAGTTCATTTGTCCACTCAGCTTGACATAGAATAAACATATAGTGCTTTTTCTTATCTTGTACAGTCAGTATTATTTACAGAGCAACCTGGGTTTTCATGCAGTTTCTGTGGCTGAAGTCCAGGACATTTGTTTCCATCATTTTGGAGGTGAAGAGAGAAGTTAAAGATGTTCACCTAGCATTTATTTCTTATTTGTTGGTATTTGTTTGCATTTCTCAAAGATCATTGGCAGGATGTTAAAGTTCACCCACCTTTATTTTTAACAAACTGGTGGTATAATCTATTCTACAGTGTACAGTACACTTAGTGGTGTTCTGGAAAAGTATATATATTTTTTGTCTTTGTATTCAAGTTTATTGTTATTGTCTCCTCCAAGGGAAACATTTGAATACAAAATGCCTAAAAAAGAACCAGTTATTTCTCTGGTTTAACATTATCTCAAGGATCTTTCACTTCATATCGAAGCACGTACCGGGCACGGTTGGTCGCAGCGCTGCCCCCTCCAACCGGCTGTGCAGGCACAGGATCCATCTGCAGGATTACATTTTGCCCCATTGGCGCAATGGCAGGTGGCGTTGCATCCTGGGCCCCACGTCCCCTCAGAGCAAGGGGTGGAGCAGTGCGGCCCCCGCCAGCCTGCAGACAGACAAAGGAGCATCAACCATGTTAGATAGAAAGTTATTTGGTCTCTCGAGTCATTCATTCATCAGTATGTTCAATAAATAGGTAAATCAATCATCAAACCATCTTTTTGAATATTCTTTACCCTCTTTGCAGAAGCAAGCCCCGTCAGTTGCCGAGCAGTCAACAAAGTTTTCACAGGAGCACTCCAGGGAGCAGTTCTTACCATAGATGCCACTCTTACATGGACTCTCACAGTGAACCCCCTGCAATAATAACAAAGATTCACGTTAACTATAAACCTCCAAGGCAGTTAACAGGTGACATAGACACACAGCACAAAAATGATGATTAGATCTGAGCACAGAAAAGGAATAGACCATCTAATACCTTCACAAGACACTCATTCCTAACTAAATCATGCTAAACTGCTCCACTCACCGTATACCCGGGGGTACAGTGGCATTTTCCGGTGGCGCTATCACACACCCCTCCATTCACACACAGACACGGCTCCAGGCAGCCGTGACCGTAGAAACCGTGAGCGCACGTCTCATTACAGAAGAGTCCTGCCCAGCCTGGCTGACATGTGCATTCTCCTTTCATGGGGTGGCAGCTGGACAAAGACAAAGAGATAAATATGACTCAACTGCTACAGAAATACAAAGAAAGGGTGAGAAAGGTCTTACTCTGCCAAAGAAACGAGTTCAGTGACACTTGTGATTTAGTATAGTCAGTCTCAAAATGATTGGTGTTGATAAAACTATCTCATACAGTAAATACAGGTAGTACGTGTTGTATGAGACAGTTTGTTGAACACCTGTAGTGTGTTTCTTTTCCTCCTTATGTTTCAGGTGGGTTTGTCTGTCCTTGTCTGTCCGTCAGCAGGGTTGTGGGAAAACTACTGAGGAGTTTTGGATAACATTTGGGGGAACGTGTTGTATAGATAAAGAAGAAAGGTTTACATGTATATATTTGAAACATGCACACCCACACAGGTGTTACCAATTATACTGATAGATTTAGCGTTCAGTTGCCCTTACTCCAGGTGCAACAGCTTATTTAACCAGCTTCATCCCCGTCCTTTACACCAGTGGAAACATACATCGAACATTAAAAAATAAACATCGCTGCTCCCAATACTTAGCCAAACAATGTGTTTCTTTGGAACTGAGGTTTCGCTCTATCGAGATTGGATTATGTCTGCTTCCCAGAGGTGCACTGCCTCAGAGAAATGCTTGAAAAGATGAATCCCCTGTTTCTGACAACCTCCACTCACCTGAGAGTGTGTTTCTCCTGGCAGAGGCACGTGCGCTCACAATGCATGCCGTATGTTCTGGGTGCGCACATCCGGTCCCTGCAGTGTGGACCGCTGAAGCCCGGCTCACACAGGCAGGCTCCATCGATGTTGTAGCAGCGCGCCCCGTTAGCACAGTCACACACACCCTTACAGTCCTGCCCGTAGGAGCCTGCAGCACACTCCTCATTACACCTGAGGGACACGGAGAGGTATAGTGATACACTGAGGATCTGGACAACATGGGAAGCAATACACAAGTCTGTTGTTGTTTTGTTAAATATGACAAATCAAATCCAACACTTTCATTTTGAATGGTTATAGTCACTGTTGATGTTAGGGTTAAGGCTGTACTTGTTGGTCTTTGTTGTATTTTGAAATGGTTAGAGTTCATTCTATTTTACATAGAAAACTGCATTGTTTGACAGATCATTGTCTTCTTGACACTTTGTAATCAAACATCAGCTAACTGCATGCAATATGCTCATGCATAGCAACCACGTCTGGGTGTGATGCTTACAAAGGACATCAAGTGTATGATGGAGTTTTTTACGTTGGCATACACTTGCTGTCTTAAAGGGGAACAAAACAATTATGAAACATTCCCTTTTTTGTATTCTTCAAAAGAAACCATGGGATTAAACAAGCCATTTAGATGTGACTCCCTTTCCCTCGTCCCATACAGGCTTATAAGAATTGACCAACACCTATCTTAGTAATTCCTCCACATCTTAGGCTGTTGCTATTACTCTTACAAGCCAATCAGAGCCAGGCTTACAAATGAATGGTGGGGGCTTTAAATTAGAGCATGTAAAATATTCTAGTAAAACCCCAAGTATGAGCCTGAAAACACAGTTTTGTTTGTTTTACTTGTCGAGGATAAAAAAACACTGTCCCTTGATTAGATCATTTGATAAAATAACGTTGCCTTTAATATTAGTCAAAAGTAACCCCAAAAAAACAACCCACCTGTTACCAGTGAAACCTTTAGCACACTGGCACTGTCCAGTTTCAGGGTCACACTTGCCCCTGTTGTGGCAGAGACACTCATTGGCGCAGTTCTGTCCAAACCGTCCCTCTGAACATCGCTCTGTGCAAACGGCACCCTGCAGAATAACAAGGCAAAAAACATTGAGGCAGAATGAAATGCCAGGAAAGGAAGATGCATCATTGCACAACTGGAATGAGACACCAACATTGCAACCTTACAATTTACGGTTACTCAAAAAAAAAAAAAGTTCTCTCTGGTATCACAATCACGTCTCCTGTCATGCATGTTTTCCAAAAACAAAGTAACCTCCTGAAGGAATGTTCACATTAGTGGAAAACCATGCAGCTGAGTGTCCCCAGAGATGACAGGTCGTTTCAAAGTGTCTTAAAAATAAGTTTGTCTCTTAGAACAAAGTAGGAGCCTTCTGGAAATGTACATGAGGCCAATTCAAAATCTGGCAACCTCCACGGATGATATAATGTTTAGTGTCAGTGCAAGCTTTGAGGTAGAGACGTACCGTCCATCCAGGTGGGCAGTCGCAGATCCCTTTGCCTTTACAGATACCTCCGTTCTGGCAGGGGCATCGCGCCTGGCATTTCCTGGGACACGCCTTCTCACAGCTGGGGGACAGGATAGAGCCCATGCTTAATAACAGCTTAATGGACCACTTTAGTCAAAAACACTCCATGTGTCCTCATGAGACATTCCTGAAGACTTAAGTAAACGTTTTCTTCTACAGTCAGACTTTTTGTCTCGAGAACAATTAATCAAGCACTGTTAGTTTGTTCTACTTTCTTACTTGAGTAGTCTTTTTTCCTTCATCTCAAGTACCATTGTTTTTAAAGACCAATGGGACTTTTTAAACCTGTTTTAAATTATTATTTTGTTTGCAGATAAATAATGATGGATTGTTATAGAATGTAATTAAAGATTATGGTCTAGGGAAAAGTAAAATACAGGGGTCACAAGCGCTGATCTCTGTGATTAATACACACAAATCACCTAAAATGCACACTTATGGGATATTATATTTTTGAATGCATCCTTTAGGGACATATTTTAAATATATGCAATTTATCAAGAAGTTGTATCCAGTCATCTTTGTGGCAAAGCCCCCATTTCTTATTTAACTCAAAGTGATGTGTTATGTGTTCATGTTGGCAGTTCAAGACTTTCCACTCATATTTAGCAGGGAAGATGTTTGTATTGTTTACTCGTCCTCGGGGTCAAATAAAAATGTAGGCGTAACAGACGACTCATGGATATTAGTGAAGTACGGGCCTTTTTCCCATCTTAAAATTAATTGTGAAAACAAATTGCTTGGTAAAGACAGACCTGTGTCCGACAAACATCCAGAGAAAATGGAGATAAAAAAATCAACTGTTATTAAATGAGGTATTAAGTATCTCCTCAATCAAATAGCAAACATAGCATTTCAAGTTACATTTGTGGCATGACTTCGCAAATTCAATTGCTGCTGACTTTTGCTCTTGTGGACAGATAACCCTCTTGTGTGTTTGTAAACCTGCTTTGATACCATACTTTATTAACTATAAAAGAATAATATGTATGTTATCAACATTTTGGAAACTGAAGAGGGGAACCATTTCAAAATACCAATATTTACTATGGAGTTAGAGAAAAACAGGCCATGTTAATACTACAATAATGTTTTTCAGACAATGTTTGGCCCTATACACAAGAACAGTGGAGCATGTTGTAATACATCTTCCAATATGCAATGCTCCTATCATATATACATTTATGTGAACTTACAATGTCCCAGTGAAATTGTCCCGGCATGAACACTCTCCGGTTTCTTTATCACAGGATCCTCCGCTGCCACACTTGCACCTCTGCAGACAGCCCTTCCCGAAGGTGCCTGCAGGACAGGACTCCTCGCAGTGTCGTCCTATAAACCCCGGGGGACACTGACACGTGCCCTTGCCCGGATGGCACAGAGCTTTGTTCTCACACTCACACTGCTGACTGCAGCCTGCACCCCAGTGTTTCTCATCACACGCTGAAAGGTAACAAGAAAAACTGTTATTGATTGTAAATAAGACTACTGATCCAGACTGCTATTCATTCCTGAATATTGCGTTGGTGAGTTGTACTTAAAAAAAATGTGAATTGTGACCCTAGATTTATAAACTCAATCTCCGAATGTATTATCTACCATGATGATACCAAATAGGAAAATGTCAATCTACCCTGGGAGAAAAGGATACAATGGAGATCACACGCTACATCTTTACATAGGGCGACTCGTTGCGTTTTGTTATTTGAATTCAGATATGTTGAAATTAAACAGCCTCGCTCGTTCTGACCGAGGAGGTTCTCACTTTGATTGCCAACATTTTCCGACGATTCAAACCAGTCAACTTCCAGTAATGCACCTCCTACTCTAAACATTGAGTCAGCCTGCTCTACTATGCTGGACATGGAAAAAAAAACACTGAAGCAAAATAAGATCACTCACGATTATTATAACATGCATCCAGAGCCTGTGCTGAAGGATCATTTTGTCTCTTTTGCCTTTTTATAATTCAATCTTTTCCCCCTACACTGTGGTGTACACTGACACTATATGATGTCATGAAACACAAATAAACAGACACAAATCTTATTAAAATAGACAACTCGGAGATGGAAAACAGAACAGCAACAAGAGAGCCCTTTAGGATGACGTAAAGCTCCACAACACATTATTATCTCCATCATGCTTCCACATCTCGCCTTTTAGCCCAGGAGTTTTATATTACCAACACATCATATAGAATTGGCAGCACGATTTGCACGGAGCTCAGAAGATGGACGAGTTTTAAATGGATGATTTTACAGAAGCCTGACGATCGTTTCCGGTGGGGTTAATGTTCAGGGGAGATTCACACAAGGTTTGGATTTCATTTCACTATGAAGAGATCTCAGTCCACTGGGTCGCGTCATGAGACCCCTGATTGGTCACGGGTGCATTCTTCAAATATCTCATCAATACTTTTTGAAGTCTTGGATATTGGACAACATGGAGTAACTGTGATATCCAATTGCACTGACGTAACACATGGCGAGAGATTTCTTTGAAAGTAAAAACAATTCCAACTATTTCATGCTGAGCCCCATCTTTGTTAGAAGTAGACATTCACTAAAGCCTAAACTACACGTCCATGCTCTACGTTTCCCCCCCCATGCTCTACGTTTCCCCCCCCCGCCCATCCCCTACCTCTCTTCGCACATATGCCTGGCCACAGATTTGAAAAGTATAAGGACTGCTTTGACAATAATTACACAGAGAGTAGAGCAGAGCCAAATTTGGCCTGGAGCAAAGCGCGCCGCCATGGATGACAAGTTTTGTTTATTGCACTAACGTGGAGCAGGACCCTTGCTTCTTTTGTTTAACTAAATCATACCTTTGCTTGTTCTGAGCAGGCATTGGAGAGGGGCTTTGCTGGATTGTGTCGCATTGACTAATGGGAAACTCAGCTGGAGCAGCGGTGGTGTTTACAGACCGTCTGTAGGACAACGTGCAGATTTACTGAAGTTCTGCAGGACCGTCGGCCTAAGAGCTGAGAGGCTGGAGCGTCCAGACAGAAATGAATGAGTGGGTGAAAAACGACCGGATTGGACGTGTTATTTTTGAGCAACCAGCTGGCAGAGAGTCAAAGCCCCTCGGTGCTGAAAACTCTTCCTATGTGTTTTGTTTATCTGCATGTAAACATAAATCCTCATCTCTGAGAGTGTTGCTGAGTTTGTTTACACCCAACTAGGGGGGTTAATGTGTTTCCAGAAAAGAAACTTGTAATATTTGTTGAAAATCTCTTAACATCACGACGGCAACAGATGAATCGAATGCTCTGGCAGAAAATAAAGGAAAATACTGTCAGTGTTGTCAGCAACTTTTGGAGCTAGTGCAACCTGCTTTTATTGGGGAAGAGTTGGGAATAATGGGCGGGGTTTTTCGGTCAGATACATTTTTTTATTTAGCTTACTCCTGCTGTTTTCTCCAATCTTCACATTTGAAAACACAGAAGCGTTTGTGGCCGTTTTTCTTTTAAGCATCTGCATCTGTGCATGATCACTCAGTAATCTAATGCTTGTTTGATTACATCATCACACTGACACACAGCGTTAGGACTTCACAGACTCACTGAACTTTCAGGTTCACACTGAGACTTCCTAAATAATAATACATTTCAGTGATGGGGATAGAGATATGAATCCATTCAGATGCTCTGCAGTTACCTCCACAGCGAAACAGTATCTAATAATGTGTGCATGTAATCCCACTGATGGACACGCACTTCAGAACTGGCATCTCTTAAATATCATTTATCAGGAATGCACACTGGTATGCTGGGAAAATTCTTATTTTTCCCCTGACAGTTGTCCAAGCAGTGGTTAGAGTCCTGCTTGCGTACAAAGTCCACTTAATCTTCTGAATATCTAAACAACCCTCGCTGCTGGTTTTTGATTCCAGCTCTTTGCGTATATCTTTTTAAATGTGCTCTGGAAACAGGGCTTACGTAAATCTTTAAATACTTTGACATGACATTTTGTAACTCCCACTGAACCACATTATTCCTTTTCATCATTGTCAAAACCATCATATTCCCATTTTTCAATCTGTTCCCAAGGCTCCTCTCTTTCTATCAGTGAAATGGAGCACCCTTAAGTACTGTACTTGAGTAGAAGAACGTCTAACTGTACTACATTTGGCAGACAACTTTAATTTTTCTTTGCAGATTGTAATGTGCTTTCTGTCTTGTCAAAACCATGTCTTCCTACATTTGGTGATTTATCATTTTTCTCAAATATTAAATGTCTCTTTTTAATGTCTCTGTTGAAGTCAATTGTCCTTAGACTTTTTTCTTAAGCTGAATCTACTATTTAAAACCTCTTTTAGATTAGCTGGAAACAATCTTAAACATCTACAGCAATAAAAGGCAACATAATGCAAATGTTATATTTACAAAGAACATCATATATACTAATAAAACATTGACACTGTGTACAGCAGAATGACCCCTTCCACTTTTGATACTTAAAGAATACTATATTGATAATACTTGCATGTTTTTACTTCTACTGTTTGAATGCAGGGCTTTTACTTATAGGGACGTTTTTTTCATTATAGTTATTGCATTTTTCCTAAGTAAAGGATATGAATACTTCTTTCACTTTAACGTACTGTACAAAACAAAGAATATTGCGTTTGCTTTTCCTCCCCTTTTCTTTTTTCCACAAACTAAAAGTGTTTGGTATGAAAACCTCATCCCCTCTCCTCTTTCCCTTACAGTACTTAGATAGCTCAACACACAGGCATCCAGGAAGTGTCAGGGCTCATTCTGCCAAAAAGACTCCATTATAGGAAGATAAAGTCGAGCCAAGGCTGGAGAGAGGAGGAGGAGGAGGAGGAGGAAGCAAAGAAGAGTTTTTAAGTGAGGGTTAGAGGAGGGAGGGAGTGTAAGGAGAGATGTGGAGAACTGGGCCATGCAAGAAAGAGAGGGGTAACATTTTCCATTTCCCCTTCCCATCATCCCCCTGTCAGGACATCAACCGCTACCCGTTAAAGCTATGATTCCTTCTCTCTGCACAGGGATAGAGGGGGAATGGAGGAAGGCTGTGTACTATTGACCCAGCTGACTGCAGAGAAACGGGCTGAAGTTAGTGGAAAACTTCATTACAGTGAGGGGGACAGAATATGTGGTTCTGGTTTCACACTCCATGTTGTTTAGACGATTAAAATCAGTGGGATTTGAGGCAGGACAAACTAGGTTTGACTCACTGTTCTGAGTTGGTGCCTCAAATAATAATTGCATAACCATTTCTGCTGACTACAGTTTGTAAAAAGAAGACATAAGTGGGTAGAAGCAGTTGGTTTAATGTCTCTGTCTTCGCTCTTATTGGAACTGTGGTCACTTTTTAAGTTACTGCCAAGGTCTTCGGCCCCTAATTTATTTGTTGTTTTGTCTGTCTGACTGTTTGTCTGACTGCCTTTTGTTTTTGTTTGTTTGTTTTTACTCTTGTTTTTATTTGTAAAGCGACCTTGGGTCCCATGAAAGGCGTTATATAAATCTAAGCTATTATTATTATTATTATTATGATTTAACTCGTAACCCATTGCTTTTAGGGTGTGCTGTTACATTTATTTGAGCAGAAGTTTGTCAGAAGTTTCACTTGTATTACACTTGATTGTTTTATGCTTTTGACTTAAGAGTACTTCTCGAGAAGTTATTATTTTGAACAGTAACTGTGAGAGGTGGCTGTGCAGCTCCTTCTGGTCTAGTAAACTGTTTTTTGGACTGAGGCTGACATTAATGACTCATTGCTGGGGATGCGGTAATGCTCCCTTGCTGTTTCCATTGGAAAGGCCTTCAGTGTGTGTGAAGTGATGTATGTGAAGGCGTTTGATTAATGGCCTGTTGTCAATTTCTGTTGTGTGTGTCAAGTTTATTTCTGTGTGCACCTGAAAAGACAGAAGAGGGGGAAGGAGAGAGAGAAAGCAAACAAGGGCGAGAGTGAGAAAATGTCTGAGGGAGGGGAAAAGTGTGATTCATACCGCTGGAACAGTCGTCTCCTCGCCAGCCGCCCTCACACTGGCACCGATCTGGAGCGACACATCGACCGTGGACACACTCCTTGGTGCAGCGAGCTGTGGACGAGAAACACACTTTATAACAGAGCTGGCTTTGTGGAGAAAAGTCAATACAACCATGGATGCCACGTCTGTGTGTTATCTGAGAGTAAAGATCAGTCTGTGCTACCAAACTTTATTTTGTCTGATGAATCCCGCAGATCAATAACATGAGTTAAAGACCCTCCCCCCCCCCCTCCCTGGATGTCATTTTTCATTAACAAGATGAAGAAGAAGATGAGATATTGTTACAGTAATCCTGGAATTGCCTGTGATTTTTTTCCCCATCCAAAAGAAAGAATACAGTGTGCCTATGCCCTCTAGAACAAACCATTCAATGAACCGATTATAGGCCTTGTAAAAGAAGTGGACATAGCCTTTGGGTCTGAAAAAGTGAAGCAAATGTGTCCAGCAGGGGAGAACTCCACTGTGTGCAAAACTAAGTCTGATTGTATAAAGGTCTATGACAAAATTCTCACTTCATATATTATATGAGTTAATGGTCTTGACCGTTTTTTTCTAGTCTTCTTCAATACATCATGAAGTTCCTTTTTCTAAATGATAGTCCCATTTAGAGTCAAATAGACGCTGGGTATGCTTTAGGGTGTGGCTATCTTGTGATTGACACCTTGCTGTCATGGCAACTTGTCAGTCTGCTAAGAGTGAGCAGCAATATGGTGGTGCAGTGATGACACATTTATTTAGGCCATCCCTTCACAAAAAGCAATAGGATTCACCCATTGCATTTTGGTATATCACAGAAAATAAGCTTTATGGCAAACACACATTAGCAGTACTTGACACATTTTGTTCAGCAGGATTATCTCTACATATTAACCCCACGTTGTGATTTTTTAAAGCATAAATTAAGCTTAAACAAAAGCTAAAGTAATGCTATAAACAAACTACACTACGGCTGTGGATCGCCACCGCTAAGCTAAAGGCAGACGTGATGACTTTGTTTATTTAGTCACTTTATAGCAACCGCCATTTTTACGACACGTTGAAGCTTCGGTTATTCAGGAGTGGAGTATTTACTGATGGGTTTTATGTTGTGGAACAAAACGTGAAATCTCATTAGTCAAAAAAGCATTCACTTCGGATGAGAATACCGAAAGCGCTAAAATGCTAAGTATTTTCTGGGTTTTAGGACTCATCACTGCCTCACTGTGTATCGCTCCTATAGCGTCCCATCAAATATATGGCATTTGATATAAATGAGTGTAGAGTGCTACGGAAATGATGATTAATGTTTCAAAAGCGTACTATTTCAAATGTGTTTTTCTATTCAATTAAAAATCTATTCAACTAAACTATATTCTTTCCCTTCGCAATAAATAGAATAAATCTGCCAGCTCGACAGCTGCGCTCAAACCACCACCCTGAAAGCATGTCAGACGCCATTCATATTGACAAGGAGCCTCTTAGAGAGTCTTTGAGTTGCCAGCATCATAAGGTATTGCTATTTAATAAATCCAAACATGCATTCATGACTGAAAACGTATAATTACATAAGTCCACCAGAGATTTCTTATATTTGTGTTGCACTAGATGAGTGATTTCTAATCACATACTGCATTTTGCACGGGGTGTTTTTCTTTTCAATAAGCTATCATTTCACTGATTACTTTCTCCTTTAGTTGCAGGTGTGTTCACACTGGAGCCTGGAAATTGCTAACTAGTCATCAAATAAATGAGGTAAGCATAATTGTATCTAATTATATGTATTTAGAAAATAAGGAAACAGTGTACATTATACAGAAAGTGGGTGTAGGAGGAGTCATAGATGACACACTGGGAGGAGAGATATTTCAATAATAAAACTTAAAGTAGCAATCAGTGGGCTCCAATCTTTGTCAGTCAGTGGAATCAAAGGCTTGTTTGGCTCCAAGAGAAAAACTCCACACAGAGAACGGCGTCATGAGACCACTGTGAACGTTGTGTATATTCTCGGCTGAACAAAAAAACATTTATCTCCAAAATGTCAGTTATTGAAGCACAAAGCACGGAAACCTTGTTATTACCATCCTGCACTTCTGAGATCATCCAGTGATGTATGGGAGAGTTTGCAAAGCTAAGGTAGAATTTCCTAAACCATGGAGCCATGTGGGGTTTCCCTTTATTTATATATGTCACCGCTGATTGTCAGCAATAACAGTGTGTCAAACTAAACGGTTGACATCTGCATCAGTTTGATATTTTTAGACGCCAAAAATGAATCTGTTGTTTATTTTATCTACTGCACCCATGCATTTATTTAAAAATAAAAAAAACTGCCTAAAATTGACAATGGGCTTTACGTTAGAGTACTTAAAGTTAAGATAAGGATTGTAGTTATAGGTTAATGATTACTTAAATCACATACAACGTTTGTGATGCCAAAGAAACTGAGGTAGAAATTAAATCCATATGAAGAAATCTCTCCTTCAAACATATTTGATGTTCATGTTTGTTCTGAATTTACTAAAACATTTTGAATTCAAAGGATACAACGTTAAAGTACACCCCAAGATGTTAGAAGAAAGACACTCAAAATGTAGTCTATACAGTAGATAAACAAAAGAATCAGTATAAACTAAAGCAACCTTGATAAATATCCAAATCAAAAATACACATAAAACAGATGGATTGTGTATGTTTGTTTTAAAATGTAAATTAATTTACTCTATACATAGTTATACCAATGTGTTAAAGTCCCTTTTTGTTTTGGACAACGTTACTTTATTTCATTCAAGGCTTCAGCTCTGTTTCCATATTATCTTGAGGCTTGAGTGTTTGTGCACTGAGGATTTTGTTCACATGATGCTATTTCTGTTGTTCTTCCCTAAGCTGCATGCAGCCGTGTCACAACTTTTAAATCCATCAGGAACAGATGCTTAGTTGATGAAATATAAGTTGCTGAATTATGTGGAATCCTAGAACTGAAATAAAATGTGAAAATGATGCGGAGGGTTTTTTATGGTGTCAGCAACACACACTTTAGTTTAGTTACAATTCCAGCTGGTACAGCCAATATCAGCATGAAAAGCCCCAGTGGGACCCGAACCCATAATTGTGGTAATTCCAGCATCATGTGCAACCCATATTGACTTTGCATGTTGCATGGAAAAAAAAGACTAAAAATAAATGTTGGTATTGTGCTAGATTGCTGCCCAAAGTATTCATCCAACATCAGGTTACTCTGTTGGTTCAGCGTCTCCTCAACATGTGCTCCTAAAGCTGTGCAATACAGGGTTTTAACGGTAAACCTGCGTATGGATTAATGTATCTCCTAGCATTAGACCATGAAGACAGAATCAGTCTGCCAAGGACTTGCAACACTCTTAAATGCTCCTTTCAAAAAAAGAATTTGCATTAACTTACAAAATATTTCAAACCTGAGCTGTCTCTTTATCGAGTACACGGGAATCTGCCAGAAACATCACATTAGTTTCCAAATTCCTAAATATGTTTTGAATATTTGTTGATTTAAAATATGGCACTTATTCATTTTGCTTATACACAATGTTAGTTTGCAATCTACAATGATGTTGCGCACTCATGGGTGGGACCAGGGGGGTAGCTACCCTTGAGGACACTGAGGTCATGTCCTCAGTCATTTTTTCGGGGATTTTGGACAATTTAGCAACAAAGTGTACAATATATAAATTAAGAGTACCGGTAAACACTTTCAGAGGTTTATTCCAGTTTCTTTTTATCTATATATTTAGATCTGACTACTTTTTAAGGCCCACCGAAAGGAGACAAGTAAAGAATGTTTTTAATGTTTAGAAATTATCTTAATAACTATGAATGTACTTTTCCTAAAAAACCTCTGATACAGTATGTGCATGAATATGTATTAATATACGCTGTCCTTGATAAATAAACTAATACCGGTAATTAAAATAAGAATTTATAATTTCTTCATTATATGTTGAGTCCTAACACAGGGAAGATTGTATATTAGAACTAAATATACAGTAAATGATCAGGGAGATTTGGCGCAGTTTAAATTGTTATTTAAGGATAAAACACATGGCATTTTGTTTTTATGAAGCAGGTTCACTTGCACTAAGCCTTTTTTCCTTATCCTGTGCACAGCCCAGTGTGGGACAGGATTATTTATTAACAAACTCACACATTGGTTTGGTACCTCTGTACACAATTTGGGCTTGAAATGTACCTTTTTATTTGAATATAACTGAAATCATGCATACTTTGGTGTTTAGTTTGACAATGATGTTAAACCTCTTAATTCCCATCTTGAAAACACTTTTCCTCTCCTCCACCATTTATTTTTGATTTCCTTCTGTCTGCCTCACTTATAAATTAAAAAGTACGCAGCTGAGTGTATTGTTTCAAGTTTCACATCATTACTTACGGACACATTTTTCTCGGCTCTCGTAATAGCCGGGGCAGCACTGGTATCTCTTGCGATAGTCTGTCTTCACCGCCTGCCTGTAGGCCGTCTTGTAGGTGATCCTGAAAGAATGACACAGTCAGACAGGAAGCTTGGACCCTCCACTGACAGGAACAGGAAGTGAGCATGAACAGGAAAGAGGTCGTAATGCTTCTCCTACCTGTGGCGCAGGCATCTGTAGGAGGTCCGAGGGTCGGAGCACGGCTCCTCCGTCACCCGGTCGTAAGGATGCGAGTAGGACTCTTTGACTGAGGTGGTGAAGCTGAAAAGCAAGGCAACACATTTTAAAACCTTCACAGAATAAAATACAAAAGCTCCATCTTTGAGCAAGGCCCCTGTGAATTATGTGAAGAGGGGGTCAACATATGAATTGCCAGTTGTACGAGACCCTGTCAACAATTAATCAATACATTGATACAGTTGGTTAAAAGAAAGGCTTCTATTTAAAAATGGAATGTGATGGAATTAGTCATTTTTAGGCAAACATGTCAAACGTTTTATGTTTCCAGCTTTTCAAACGTGAGGACTTCATTACTTTCCTGATAGTAAACTGAACATGATCGAACTTGATTTACGGTATGATGGTCAAATAAAATAAGCATTCTCAATACTCTCCTACAATCATTTCATACATAAAGCAATTAATGGATTGATTGAGGATTGATTTTGTGGATTGGTTAATCATGAAAACAAGTGCTGCCGTCTATGAACCCTAATGACTGTGGAGGTTCCCTTTGGCTGTAGACTCTTAGTCTGGTTTCAAAATAGTCATATCAACATTTACATGAGTTGCTCTTTCTTAATAAACATGTTAGAAATGTTGTTGATTCATAAAATGTTACATGTCTCGAGTTGTCCAATAGCAATGGCCCTAGTGGTTTGGGTCCAGTTAAAGTAAACTTTCAGCACTATGAATGCAGCAGTGCTTGAGAAAAAATGTTGTATATTTGATGACATTTTTCTGTTTGACTAAGTCATACAGGCCTCACCTCTCCCACAGGCTGCACACATTCGGGTCTCTTGGGTTCAGAGAGTAGCTCAGACCAATCAGGAAGCTCGACAGCAGCAGGACGGCGGAGCTCTGCAGAGTCGCCATGGTCCTGAGGGGTAAAAAAAAGACAGACATTTACAAAGGGATGCAAAAACCCAAACATTTCAGCAAGGATGGCAGGGGGCCGAAACATATTTATTTTTGTTAGACTGGGAAACTAAACTGAAGGTGGAGACAGTAAAAGCAACATTTGTACAACGCAAAGCAATCTGGTTATGCAACTTGTACGGTATGTACCGTTTGTTTAGGCTCGGCTGAAGAGGTGATGTTAAAAACGGCCATTTCTCATGAAGACGAATTGAATTAACATGCCTTAAACACCAATTTTAAAGAAACCTTTCAAAGAAGAAGAGTCATTTTGAGGTTTCTTTTTACTGCGGGATAAAGTTGAGCAGCATGAAACACAACAATAAACCTAACCCTCGCAAACTCACTGTGGAAAATGTTGCACACCCAAAATGGGAAAATAAAAAAAAGTTCCAGTCCTGCTCTCTATTTGACATTTACATCCATTGTTTTTTGTTTACTATAATTAACATTTCACAGTGTGGCGGACAGAAAGATTAAATAAAATCTGTTTCTCGGTACCTATAAACTGCGGTTAAGGTTTGAGCCTGTGATTGTAAAAAGAGTTTGTTAAACACTCAGCAGAGGTGAGGCAAAGAGCCAGACTTGAAGCGTAACGCCGTCTCAACATGGTACATAAAACACAGAGGAGTAAGATCGGGAGTACAAAAAAAAACGAGAGTCAAGAAATCCGACTCCCTATTCCTGACCCCTATCAATCAGAGCTGAGCGCGGCCTCCACGCTCCTCTGCTGTCCCAACACACTCCTGCAGCATCTGGATCTGATCAGTGCGTCGGCCCCAGAGAGCGCCTCGGCACGGGGACCCTGTTGGGCTCTCAGGGAGCCGAAGGGAGGCTATTTTCTAATATCTCATCGTAATGAACAGAAGTTCAGCAGGTCAGTATTGTGAGCCCTCTGCTGAAAGCATCGTGGGAATGCAACACTTTTTAGAAAACGGGGTCGTAATGTTGACATAGGATTAGTCGAGCGTGTTCCTCTGTTTTCTCCACAAGTCCCATCTGACAGAATTAATGAACCAAGGCTTCTCATGTCATCTACTCATGGCCCGAGAGAGATGTGTGATATGTTGGGATAGTGGCATCGCAGCAACCAATCAAGATTGTCTTCTTCATGGATAAACATCCCTGATCTAAGGAGTGACAACAAATGTCTCCTTTACTTTGAAACTTAGATCCTCCCTCAAAGTTTCATAACATTATATAATATGTCTTTTGAGAATTGTATGACCACTACAATCATCTCATAGAGTAAAGTGACCAAAACTTTAATACCGTAAGAATTGGAGTAATATTTTTGGTCAATAAGGTCAGTGAGGCCCTACTTTCTCTACTGCTTTGCTCTGATCGAATATATGATGTATATCTGGTTGTTGTTACATTTAGGACTTTTTTAACTGGCTGTTTTCTCACAGAAATGCTATCAGTGATGTTTAGGTGGTAAACATTGGTAGACATTTGGTCAAGGTTTAGTTAGAGAAACTTAAACTCAATAGTAAGTCAGTGAGAAAACGATGTATGAGTTAGAGGTTCGTACCCGGTTCCTGGCAGTACTCTGTACCGCATTGTTTTAACGTCAAACAGCTTTCTGGCCCTTTGTCCTCCATGTCATCTTTTCCTCCTGGAGAAACATTCTTTGTTAACTTTTCACGCACATATTTGCATTCTAAGTCACACTGCTGGAAAATTGGGGAAACTTCCCGCGATGAGGAAAATATTTGCCTGTGGCTTGGTGAATAATGCATGCCTCTAATAGTGCCAAGGTCAGCGGTTCAATTCCCATTGGAGCCATTTGATGTATGTTTACAAAATGTGCTTTTGTCTTTATAGTGGATTGCACGAGAAAAAGAATAAAGTCAGAATAAGGATTATTTGAAGAAACAGTTCACCATAAACACCTCTGCAATCAATCAGAAGCTCATTTAATATAACTACATCTATGTTTACTCTGTCCAGGGGCTGGTTATCACTGCTGGAGATTTGGCATGGTGAGGGCAGCATAAATCAGTGCGACTGCACAGATCTTCTGCTTCTGATAAACTGCGTCTGAGTACTCTCCTACTCTGTCAGGAGTTAATTCACTTGCTGGCACAAGCGCTAACGCCTCAGAAATCTGTGCCACAAAAACAGAATTTTATGAGAACAGGCATATGGCTTTTATTAAGAGGAGTCATCAACTTCACCAGCCACCTCATTGGACTAGGGGTAAATATTTTTCATTACCTTCTTTTCATTTTAATTGTGCTTCATTAGAGAAAGGCTTCAAACCGCATGGGAATTCTTAAATGCTGAGAAAGAGAGCTTAATGACTGCAGCCGGAGTTGTTTTGAAGTCGAGCTCAGACGTTGTTTGCATTGCATGTTTGGGTTACCTACAGAAGGGGGGGGCAGGTAGACGTCTGGAGCTCCAGGTGGTAGTGTCATCATCTGGAAACTGGACCCTTAATGGGGCTACCCTGCTTTAGAGGAGCAAAGGAGTGTTCAGGTACTCTAAGAATTGAGTTTAACCCAAACTCCTCACCGACTGTTGACGGATTGATTCCTTTCCTTTCCTCCTTTTCACATAATAGCTGTCCACTCATTACATTCAGGCCTAAGCTATCATTATTTCCTTTGAGTTCTTTCCAAACTGCAGCTCTGAACCCTTTCACTTGGACAAGCTTGGTTATGAAGCGGAAAAACACGAGTAGCATGATTTATTGCAACAGTTGTCCCTTTCATTTGTTTTGTACGTGATGTACGTGATGCACCTTCATACTTCACATCCACTGGTCAAAGAGGCTGGACCGAGTTCAGTGAAGAACATCAAGGGTAGAGGTTGCGCCAACATACAGTATTTAGATCTTTGTAATAAAAAACAAACAGTCAATCTCATCCAGTGCCGAGAGACTTTCATGTGGCTCTATAAACCGCTATTAAATAGACAAAATGCCACACACACAGGAAAATGTGAATCTGCACTCATCCCACACATATAACGTCAACATGAATGCACACTCCCACACCCAATACACAGTTTGTAACTGTAACGACTGATCATGTGTTTTCATGTTCTGGCGACATTACACACACGTATCAAATGAGTCCCATACGTTGAATTGAGTTCAAAGGGAGACTATATTTAGTAACTAAGGACATTTAGCTAATCCAATGAGCTTCTCTTCACTGACTCATTCTGTCGCGGCCCAAAGCAGCGTCCCACGCACACACCAACAGAGGAATGCTGTGAGCTGTTTAAGGGCCCGAAATGCTCTTAACAGAACCGCATAGGGGCTTCAAGTGAAAACAAAGCCCAAATGAAAACAGATGCCTTGGTTTTATATTAATCCTGCTAGACCTTCGTACCCATGTTATTACCATATTCTGCTTCAATCAAGAGCCCTTCAGGACGCACAAGTGCTGACAACTAGAACATTGTTTTGATTCCATTTTATGCAAGAGAGCCATTTCTTGACAGATATATACTCCCATCAGACTGCATGTTCTCTTTAGTTGAACAGTCAGTACAGAGCCTTCAACCACATAGAAACAGGATCTTCTTCTCTAATGTGATTATCAATATATTGTTTGCCAATTTAGATCAGAATATTGATACCACTATCATGTCTGTCCGTTAAAAATGAAGTGTGTGACAGAGATTTTCATTTGATTTTAGCTTAAAGACTGGAAGCAGGGGGAAACAGCAGGCCTGGTTCAGTCCAGGGGAAGTGAAATCTGCATATATTAGCATCTCTCAAGTTTACTTTATTACATTTGCAGTGCTCATTCAGGTAGAAAATATTAGTCACACACTGGAAGGGAAAGTATGGTGTAGAGAAATGGATAGAAAATCATTGGCTGGGATATTAAGAAATACAGTAAGAGAGAAAGATGGACAGTCCTGCCAAATACAAGTTCATTTTCATGTCGAAGTGCTCTGATTTCAGTCAGAAGCAGAAACTACACAACGTGTCCTTCTCTTTTTTATGGCTGTTTCTAAGCTTCTCTTGGTAGTTTGGATGCCAATATGCTCTTCCAGAATCAACTACATCAGAAACTTTAGATGTCTTTGTTCTGAGCAACTCAAACCAGAGTCAGTGGACTACAAAATAAATACAACATGGTGAAATGTAATAGCATTTCCTGAGTTATGACACACATGTGCAGGTGAATCATATTACTGTGTGTCTTAGAAAAGTGAATCAAACTGCGGGTAATTTATGTCTTGTTTCATACCAACCCGGTAAATAGGGACTCTCATATCCGCACAAATCCCCACGACAGTTTAATGTCTGATTTAAAAGAGATCATAAGGTAATTCAAGACATTAAAGCTGGGGTATGTTCATTTTATTTTTCCGAAACACTTTTGTTATATTCCATTTGGGAAGTGCTCTTCATCCCGATAGTAAGCATACATTACATGCTTTGACAAATAAATACATAAAAAAAAATGTCATCTGTGGAAGCCGGGCGCGCTGTAAAAAGCACGACCAATCACCTGAGCCGGCCCGGCTAAAATAACTGGATGGCCTACCTGCCTGTCAGCCTTTCATCTGTGCACAAACTTATCTCGTGCCCTGATTGGTCATGTGCGCGTTCTTGTGTGTGTTGGAGGAGGGGCTTTGTAAGGAAGTGGCAGATTTTTTCCGGCTGTGTATTTTCAAATTCTAGTGCACTCGAGCTGGTTTCTCCAAAATTACCTACCCCACCTTTAATCGATGCAAGTTTAGAGCAGAAAGCATGTTTTCCATTGAGAGTACAATAGAAAACAGATCTGAAACTGGTTGTATAATATTAAATAAGATGCATGAAACTTTAAAGGATTACTTCTGGGAAATACTTTCAGAATAAATTCAAATACTTGGAAAGCTGTTTAAATATGGGCAGGTGTTCTTTATCAAGTTGTATTTTAAACATGATTTACGTTTCCTGTAGTTTGTCATAGCAGTGCAAAAAGAAAAGTGAATCATTAAGTAAATGGCATCTGAATACGTTTTTTGAGATTGCTCATTACTGTTTAAATGCAGTGAGAGACAGTTTCAAAATAAAAGTGGCTTGCCCAATCTATCAGCATACAGCAGAGGCAGTGATTTAATTTACTCGTGGATCCCTGCGGGAGGGATTAGAAGTGGTTCAACCCAAATGTAAGGTCAATAAATCAATGAGAGAGCAGAAATTAAGAATCATTGCTCTTGTATCAGCTTTACTCCCAAGTGGTCCGCTGCCCACCCAAAGTGAGCTCTCTACAAATACTAATAAGCTCCCTGAGACACAGTTGTAGCCCTTTAAATGGTCCTTGACATGAAAAACTAAGTGAGAAACGTTGTTTTGAGCATTATAAATTGGCAAAACCTCCAACAACACATAAAGGAAAGAGCTACAGAGAACAAAAATCAACTAAATTGTTTCCTGGCAACACGATGGTCAAACTGCACATGATTAAAGCATTGCTGTGCACCATCACACTTAAAAATGGGCCTTTAAAGTTGCAGTGTGTATCGCAGGCTTAAGGAGATTTAAATGATCACCCTGTGATTGTGATCATCTCCGGTATCAGAAAATACCCTCCACAGGAGAGAAGAGCCAAAGTGTTGCGTCACACATTTACAGTTCAGCTCTAAGAAAAACAAATCTATAAAACTGCTCGAGGGCAAAAACAGACAGAAACTGGAATATATCAGCTTCCAAGTGACACACCGACCACAGTCCCCTCTCTCTGACTCCCCCTCCTCTCCATCCCACCCTCCCGTTAAACTAGAGTTACTGTAAACTGAAAATAAAACCCATAATCCTTTGCATATGAGTTCTCTTCTTGGCGCGTAGGAACGGTTCTGCTGTTAGACCGCATGGAGGCTGGCACAATGTCGCTGCTATGCCTCATGTTGGGTGGGTGAGCGCAGAGACCCTTAGCAACACACTGGGGACTCGGAGGAACAATTACATGCCACACCCAAATACTTATTGTGAGAAACACACATTTAACTTCAAACAACACACCCACGTATTAAATGAACCACATTATCCAGCGTAAATCCAGAGAAATATCCCAACGCCTACATCAACACGTTTCCCCTCTGTTGACAGCAAAGACATGGTATACGGTAAAAGGTGGTACTCTGCCACCGAAGCTGAACCCCCACAGTGGAAAAAAGCTTTCAGTGGAAAACTCTTGGCAGCTTAAGTGCCGTTGATGGTTCTGGGGGGAGTTGCGTGACAAAAGGATGATCTTGCGAGGGAGAGACGAGAGGGAGGCATTGCACAGGCCTTGGAAGGCTGAATTGTGCTGAGTGAGATCTGCAGCGTTTGCTATCTGCAAGACTGGAGAAAGTGAAGAATTCATAAACTTTTGACCTCTTAAACAGCCGTCACTGCAGCAGTGCATTTCTTTTTAATGTCTCTTTCTTCTGTTTCCTTTCTCAGGTAGATTAATAGTCCTTTTCTGCAACTCTATCTTATAATTATGTCTGCAGATCTGTCCCACACGTTTGCTACATTTTCCAGCAATAACATGGGAATACATCATTTAGATCCTCTTGAACAAAAGACTTCTTACCAACAGGCTCTTAAATACAACGACAGATGCTTTGTGCAGCCTGCCAATCTGTCCTTGTGTTCAAGTCATTTTAAAGCTCTGTTTAATTAGGGGAGTTGGAACAACTAATGAAATCACCTCAAGTCAACTCTATGTCATTTCTACGGAAATGTGAGACCAGCTTTCACTTGGCACTCAGTCTTCGCGGTCTGGGATCCTTTATTTAACTGAGAAAAACAGGAAACAGTATGTGTCCCCCCCTCTTTCCTGGACCCAAGTTTAGGTCCCAGGGGAACCGATGACAGATTCATCTAAAGCAGATCTGAGGTCAGTTAGCTGCCTTTAACCTTTTCTTTATTGTCCCATCATATCACCTTGCAGCAGCCAATACAAATAAAAAAAAAAAACATGCAATCTACTGAATATTAAAAATGTACACAAGCCAAAAACATGGCCATCAAAATATCAAGAGGCCTCAAGGTAGGAGACCAAAAATGTAACTTAACAATTAATCTAAGAATGTGCGTTAACCACAACCTTTCCTTTAGTGGTAAATAACTAATAGCAAGATAAGATAGTGTGTGTGTGTGTGTGTGTGTGTGTGTGTGTGTGTGTGTGTGTGTGTGTGTGTGTGTGTGTGTGTGTGTGTGTGTGTGTGTGTGTGTGTGTGTTTATGTTGGACAGTGCTGGATTCTCTGGAGCTCATGTGACATCATCTGTCCCCACGGTGATGGAGAGCAGAGTCTGTGGATGGCAGTGGTTTTGGTGATAAGGTCACCATGGTAACGCAGTTGTTTTGGAGAGCATGAGAACATCAACATGACTCGAGCTGAGGTCAGTGCGGGGTTTACATCGACTCCTATCTGCACCGAGTAGGAACTGCAAAAACATTGATAGAACTTGAACTGACAAAACAGTTTCTGTTGCGTAATACTGAAATACGTTTTGGCTTGAAAACACTTTTTTAGTTTCACAAATCCAGTATACTGTAAGACACGCAACTCAGATTTCTAAGAGTGTAGTCGGCGAGAGCACTACGAGAAATATATTCTTTGTTTTGGCATCTTAAACCACGAATATCAGGTGACACAACTATTTCACTTTAAAGGACTATTAAAACATTCTTTGTTGGTATATTAATAATAATACAATAATAATAAAATACTATGCCATGTTTGAACCTTTCATATTAACCAAATGTTCCACAAATACCTGCGGTTATAAGCTTTATCTTTATCTCTAAAGCTTTACCCTTTGCACTTTTGTGACTTAGCAATTACTTTAAAGTGGACCTATTATGCTATATTGGAAAAATATATTGTAGGGCCATATCTATACAAAACATTTCTGTGAAGTTTTTTGTTTAAAATACCAAACAGTTCACCCATTGTAGCCATGCCTCATACTGC